ATAATTTTAATATACATATATAAAATATTCTTTAAATATTCCTTAAATATTTTCGTTAATTAATTAATTAATTCGTAATTTTCCTAATTCCTTAAACATTGAATCTGCTTTATAATTAAATATCCCAAAGCTAATCAGGAACGATTGAAACCATTTAGGCTGCTGAAAATTGCAAACGGATTTGTTATGCACGGGGATGGGCAATCAATTGCATTGTTTGGCGAAACGTTTGAAATTCGACGCCGGGTTATTGGTTCGCATTAGTGTCGCCCGCGCAATTAACCGTTAATAAATCGTGCAAAATCAAACAGATATTCGTCGTCTGCGGATTTCACACGTGGCACCACCAACATATATACACTATACTATATTCGTGTATATACACAGTGTCCCAGGAAAAGTGTTAAAACCGATAAGAGGTGATTCTCGAGGTAATTCTGAATAAAAAGTTCCTTTGGCGAAATGCGAAGCGACGCACGGTTTTTGAATTATTAACGAAAAACAATTGACCAATGGGAGCGTGCGTAGGGTCCCGCGCTCAGCCACGGGAGTGGGGCTCGGCTCGGGACCCTCCGCAGTGGGTCAGCGTGGGCCTGTATTCAGCTACGGGAGTGGGGATCTCTTGCGACGCTCGGGACGTTCCGCAGTGGCTCAGCGAGGGCCCGTGTTCAGCCACAGGAGTGGGGATTCGGCTGGTGACGCTTGGCAGTGGCTCAGCGCGGGCCCTACGCGAGCTCCCATTGGTCAAGCGTTTTTTGTTAATAATTCAAAAACCGTGCGTCGCATCGCATTTTGCCAAAGGAACTTTTTGTTCAGAATTACCTCGAGAATCTTTTTGTCCAGAATTACCTCGCCTCTTATCGGTTTAAACACTTCTACTGGGACACCCTGTATACACACGGTGCTCGCTGGCAGGAATCCTTTCGGGTTTATAGCCACGACATCATTAACAGACGCGAGGCTTTCCGATTAACAAATCCTGCAAACTCTAGCACTGGTAATGACTGCCTGTTTGCAGATTATTTAGTAACAGGTGTTTACGATACCGTGACTAATGTTCCTCCACCAGTTACACTCGTTTGCATCGTGTTCGACAATCCAATATACATAAAAGACAATAAAAAAAAAAGAACAGTTATTTTATTTAATAATATTAAATTCCGAATTTTGTAATTAAAGCAAAGAAATTTAATACACAGTTTAATAATTAAATGAGGGAATAAAATTAGGTTAATAATTATAAATAAAAAGGAAATGAATGTTCAATCAGTTATTATTAATATTTAT